GGGGTGTAGAAGAGGGGGGACATTCCCCCTAAAAGTAGGTTTAGAAGGGGGGTGTAAAGTCACCATGGTTGTTTAATATTTTTATGATGGGGTTGTAAAGGAATAAATGTTCGGGAGAGGGGGGGGATTAAATTTTTGGGGTCAAATTTAAAATGGGAATTGACACGTTTTCTTTTTGTGTGATACTGTGCTTATGGGGGGGTTCTAAAGAGAAATTGCAAAGGTTAGTGGATGAGTTTTGGGGAAGTGGGAAAGGGAAAAAAGTTTTAAAGTGAACATAGAAAAAAGTTAGGTGATGAGGGGTCAATATTTAGATAAAGAAAAATTGGATAAAAGTTAATGACAGGAAAGATATAAATCTTAGGGGAAGGAAGGGTGGGGGGGGGTCGCTCGAAAGGGTTGGAGGGAGGGGGTAAAGGAGGTTTTTGTGGCAAGGGGCTTGGACTTCCGCAAGCGTGCGTGAGCGTGTTAGATGGAGTGAATGGGACAAAGGTACTTGGGATGACGATCTTTGGAGTGTGGCAGGGAAATATTTAGTAAAGGGGATTCAGGGAAAACCGGTTTTTTTATATAGTGGGACTTGACCCTGGAAATGGGAATACAATGCCTGCACTTTAAAGGGGGGGTTTTGGGAAATTTGGCAGTTTGGAGGGATTTGTTGGTATCTTTTTTATGGTTGCTTCTAAACTGTGTATTCTGACACCTCGCATAAACAGTGAAAATGGGGAGTTTTGGAAAAATTTTTTCCTGGAGTTTACCGGGAGAGGTTTGGGGGGAAAACCCCCCCGGGGCCCGGGTTGTGCCGGGCCTCCTGGTGGTCCCCGCCTGTAAACCCGGGCGTTGCTCGGGGCTGCACGCAAACCAACGTACGGCCCACAGCCCGGCGATCAGGAACTGCCTTTAGGTGCTTGCCCGTCCCAGCTAAAGATCCCCAGGGGTCTGTTGGAAATCCCCCCTTATGTGTGCTGGGAGGCATTGAAACAGTCTCGGCCCCCTGACACTTATTGTAGGGTCTTTTAACGGGTAGTGACCCCCTGCTTTTCATTGGGGGGATGGTGCATCGCGCCAAGTCTTTGCTTTCGTAGTGAGTGTTTTCGGTAAGTTCGGTACTAGTCCCTCTGGATTTTCCAGGTGTAATAATCATGTTCTCTCCCCCCCGCGTTCCAGGGATACGGGTTTAAACCTCAAGCGCCCCCAAAATTGAGGTGTTTTTATCTCCTTTAAAGGCCCCGTAAAAGTTCTCTACATTTTCTAGGTCGGCAATTTCATGCCTTAAAGGGTGCTGTTAGAGTGCAGCAATATTCCAGCCTAGATGAACAAGTGACCTAAGAGTGCATCATGGGCTTGGCCCCCTGTTTTGAAGGTTTATTATCCACCCCTGTCATTTTTAGCAGTGCGATTGATACAATGTTAGGGGGCCTTGAAGGTGAATTGAAATTCCTCCCAGGTCTTTGCGTTGGTGTTCGCTCTATTTTGTGGCCAGATTTGTTTTTCTCTGTAAAGATTTTTTTTTCCTCATGTTTACCCTATTGAGTAATTGAAATTTTCATCGTTGAACTTCTATTTTTTTCTGCGCCCCCTGAAAGATTTGGTTGATGCCCGGGGGCCTTCAGTGTCTGCAAGGAAGACACTGTCATTTTCAGATTCGGGTGTCATTGCAAGGAAGACACGGTGCTGTGGGCTGACATCCTTGTCTATGGGCGGATATGAGGATGAGGAACAAATGGGATTTGTACTGGCCTTTTGGAACAGGCTTTTCACCGTAGCTGCCTGGGCTTTACTCTGTTGGACTACTCTGTGTTTTTGTTAGTGAGGAAATTATAGATCCATCGACCCAATTTTCCGTTTTTCCTTTTTGCCGCTTTTGTGCGCTATTACGCCATGGTCACACTTGTCGAAGGCTTTTTCAAAGTCTGTATTATTACATCTGTTTTTTTTTGTTTCTGTGCATTTGGACCCTTTTCGTAGTGATCCGTAGTTGAGACAGCAGGAGCGGCCCGTTCTAAACCCAGTGCCCCGGGTTGTGTAAAAATGATGGGTTTCTAGTGGGGGGTGACTTGCTTCTTTGGCCCTTTTAAAATTTTTTTTTATATGGGATGTTGGCTATTGGTTTGTGTTTTTGCTGTTGCTTTACTGCCCCCTTTTTGGAGTGGGGCTTGTCGTTGTTTTTTTGTAACTGAGGGACGACCCCCCTCCTGCTCCCCCTCCATGGATGGAAAAAGGGTCTGATAGGGGCTTTTGAGTTCTTGAAAGAACACAGAGTTCCATGAGTCTGGGCCCGGGGCAGAGTGTTGGGATTTATTATCGCCTGTTTGAAGTCATTTGGCGTCAGGTAAATGGGAAAGGGTTGTTTAATCAAATTTTTTGGCTCTCTCATAAAAAATTCTTTTGATCTTCGACTCTCAGTCTGGTTAGCGGCCCGCTAAAAAAATGAGTCATATTGGGACTTTGGGAGCTCACTCATTTTTTTGCGTCATCTGTGTAGGAACCATCTTGTTTTGTAGGGGCCCAATACTGGCGTTGTTCTCGATTTTGATTTGGCTAGGAGAAGAAAAACTTTGGGTTTCTTTTGATTTATTTATGGCTTTTAGTTCTTCCCCCGATTCCTGACTCCTAAAGGATTCTTTTAGTTAAAGTTCGATGCTGCATTCTCTGACAGTGTCTCCCCGCCATTTGATATATTGACCTCTTTTAGCCGCTGGGTTTTTCTTTTCCGCGCCTGAAAGGGAAACGCCGTCTCTTTCTATTTTACATCTATCCTCCCTTTTTCTTTGAGGAAAAAGCCTTGGCATACATCGATGCCCCCGAGTTAATTGTTCTAGGGATAAGTTTGGGTCGTGTGCTTAGTTATCTTCCCCGCTTATTCGGTTAGGACTGGGTTTTTTTGGTCCCACTTTATGTTTTTTGTTTTGAAGTTGAATTTGGTGAAAACTCTCTCGTGATAGTCTCATTTTGTCGGTCTGGGGCTCACGCTACATTCAAAATCAATTTTTGGGGGTCTGGGGATATTGTTTTGATATGGGGACATTTTTTTATAGATCATCATTGTTAGTGAAGTGAGGCTAGTTGTATTCTCCAGTTAGTAGGCTCTATTTTTTGTGGTTTAAATTGGAATTTTGTGCAGAGATTTAAAAGCTCGTGTGGGGTGGTTTTCATCAGAGCTGGGCCCTGGTGTTTTTATGCAACATTTTATTTTTTCTATATTCCCCCATTTTAGGTGCCTTAAGTTAAAATCCCCAGGAGAAGAGTTGGGGGGCAGGAGCGGAAGATTTTCCAGACATGGTCAATTTTTAAAAGCTGTTCCCGGAATTGCTGGGGGTTTGTCCGGGGCTTTTAGACTTCCACAAGCTAGGTTTTGGGGTTTTCACCTTTACTGCTAAAATTCCACTACGTCATTTTTAGGCTTTTAAACAGTTTTTTGCAAAAAAAGTGACTCTGCAATGTACAGGCCAAAACCCCCCCTTTTTCCCGTTCACTCTGTCACTCTGTTAGGTTGTAACCCCGGGATCCATATTTGTTTCCCAAATGATTTCCCTTTTTGGGGTTCAGTGAAAGCCGCGAAATTGCCTTTGCCTCTGCAAACAGTCCCCCGGATGAAAGGTATTTTGTTTTTTATTTTCTGGGTTTAGACCCCGTATATTTGCAAAGAAGAATGTTATCGGGGGTGGTATTTGTTGGTACGGGGGCGGATTTTTTTTCCCGGCATTGTATCTGTATCGTTGGGTTTTGGAGTGGAGGCCATCGTTTTGGGGTTTCCCTCCAGGAATGACCCGGATTTTTTTGTAGATTTCTGCCATTTCCTGCCCGTTTTTTTTTTTTCCCGGCACTAAAAAAAACCCCTCCCCCTTTTTAGTGGGGTGTGGCTACCCAGGTTTTCCCTGGCCTGGATGTTTGTATCTTTTTGTCCCCCCTTTTGTGGTTCCTGGCAATTTAAGTTTGCACAGTCCCTTTTCCCGTATGAAAGGTACACATTTTAGGGTTTAAAAAAATTACAGGAAGGGGTTTGCATTTTCCGTTGTTAAAAGGGGATGACCTTTTCTAGGGGTCATGTTGCATGTCCCATCTGTTTTTTTTTCCCGATTAGCAGCTTTGAGTTACCCTCTTTAATACCCTTGTGATTTTAGTCCACAGATTCCTCATTTGGGCATACCCAAAAAAACACTTCTCTGTTTTAATACTGCTTGTAGCTAGTTCTGGGATATCTGCACAAGGAGCGTGACACCAATTTCCACAAAAATGACAATTTATCCATGTGGTAGCCCGTTTGTTTGACTGACCACAGACTACACACAGCTTCATAATGATTTGAATGGTTGATTTACTGCAAGTCTACTAGCAACCTCTTGAATATTATATTAATAACCTTAAATGAAGCTCTAGCTATTTGTATTTCTGTTTCTAACTCTTTTTGTATATTGGACAGCTTACCGTCACGTGTTGAATGATGATGAAAGTATTTTCTTTTTGGGGATTTTCTTTCTTTTTTTTGGGTCACCCTGCCTCGGTGGGAGACGGCCGACTTGTTGAAAAAAAAATTTATAATTTTGCACCAAAAGGAACTTAGAAAACTTACCTAACCTTATAACAAGCGCAATTTATTTTAGCCTAACCCAACTAAATATATTTTAGATTTGTTTGCAATAATTTAATACTAAACAAACACAGTGATATATATTTTTTTCGTTAGGTTCAGAATGATTTTGGCGAAATTATTGCATACACAAATTTTCACTTGTGCTATATGGCAAGATGAGCGTTGCTATTTAAGCCAAGATCGCAAGTTCTGCCTATTCGGCACGATATACATACATATATATATAAATATATATTTATATATATATATATATATATTATATATATATATAATATTATATATATATATATATATATATTAATATATATATATATATATATATATGCCGTCAATAACTTACGCTACTATTTGTTAGTACTCTTTATAAGAAGATGAGACCAAAATCAGCAGTATGTTGTAACCTTACCATTGTGAGAGGGATGGAGACGTTGGGTGGGTCTGGCTCTCCTCTTCCTAGTGTCTGCCGCCTTCTGCTGTTGCTGTACCTGCTGTTCCTTGGTAGTCGGAAGGCTCACAGCTGACCCTTCACCTTCCAGCTGGCGGTTAGCTTAACAAGTCACAAATAGACTCATGGATATGAACCCTAAATTTATACCAAAAATCTGTTAATATTACTGCTTTATTTCTAACGTAATAAAGAGGTTGAAACAAGCATTCATAAAGCAGTGAAAGAATTGGGAGTATTAGGCAAACTGACACTATAAGCATGCATCCAATTTTACTAAAACAATTTGTATCATTACTGGTGTCATTATAATTATTATTGCTGTTAGTCATTATTTTGTATAACTTTAGTATTAGCTATAAAAATGGAATATTATGTACTTAGTTTATTACAGTATGCGTTATTTTATAAGGTTAAATTTACAGTTTTATGGTGTTTGGTGCAGTCATCGGGAGAGGCAACATGCAGTTATCCTGATGAAGGTCTACCAGTTTAGTTTAACATCTTTATTATGCACCCCGTACCCATCCTGTGGGCGGTAGTCAATAGATTACAAAGGTACACAATGGGTTCAGGGACTGGGCCGCAAAGTTCTGACAGCTGAACAAGTAACAAAGGTAATGAACTATTTACATGTTTGTATCTGGTCACAATCGTAATGAGTTATTTATGCAAACATTAATTAGGTCATACACACAGCATACACACACACACAGCATACACACACACACACACACACACACACACACACACACACACACACACACACACACACACACACACACATAGACCTGTGTCACTGACGTGTATAGTATGCAAATTTGTGGAGAAGATTATCAGGAGCAGAGTGGTGGAGCACCTGGAACGGAACAAGAGTATAAATGCCAACCAGCATGGATTCATGGAAGGAAAATCCTGTGTCACAAACCTTCTGGAGTTTTATGATAAACTAACAGAAGTAAGAAACGAGAGAGAGGGGTGGGTTGATTGCATCTTCTTGGACTGCAAGGCCTTTGACACAGTTCCTCACAAGAGATTAGTGCAGAAGCTAGAGGATCAATTCAGTTCAATTCAATTCAAATTCAAAGTTTATTCTCTATAAGGATTACAATGCTGAGTTTACAGAATTTGGTTATTGTATTGTTTACATGTAGTAAAATAATGATTACAGAGTGTACCACTAGAACACCTAGCATGGCTAGGCATTTCGGGCAGACTTAGTTTAATTCTTAATTTTAAAATATTACAAATTATGAGGTAAGTTGGTATTATGGCTAAGTGACTATATACTAGTTTGTGAGTTTAGCAATGTGAATGTTTTTGTTTTGGCACAGTACATAGTTTCAGTATTGGAGTATCACAGGATTCATTATTTTAAGATTGAGATTAATATTTCTGTTTATGGTCAAATGGGTGAGTGTAAGTGTGAACCACCAGGTGGTGTTCGTGCAGTTAGTTGACGGGGTGTATCAGGGAGATAAGATGTTTTCTAATGGTAGTTTTGAAGGTGATGAATGTGTCTGCAGTTCTAGAGTTCTCAGGTAGGGTGTTCCAGATTTTAGGGCCTTGGACATACATTGAATTTTTGTAAAGGTTTAGTCGGACACGGGGAATGTCGTAGAGATGTTTGTGTCTGGTGTTATGCCTGTGGGTTCTGTCACAACTATCAAGAAAGCGTTTTAGGTCAAGGTTGATATTGGAGTTTAAGGTCCTGTAGATGTAGATTGCACAGTAGCAAGTGTGGATGTACTGAACAGGGAGTAAGTTTAGATCTATGAAGAGTGGGGGGGGTGTGTTGCCAGGGATGGGATTTAGTGATTATTCTTACTGCGGCTTTTTGTTGGGTTATTATTGGCTTTAGGTGTGTTGCTGCAGTTGATCCCAAGCACAAATAGCATAGGTGAGGTATGGATAAATGATGGATAGTGTGAGAAGGGCATTTTGCGGCACGTAGTACGTTCTTGGAGAGGATTCCAACCGTTTTGGTATTTTTGTTATGTTTTTGGAAAAAAGGTGCTGTTTCAGGTTGTTGTAAAGGGTATGGGCCCTGGGAAATTTTGCCCTCATTTATCTGGAATTAGAGTGTTCTCGATTTTAATGTTAATTTTTCACTCCTGCTCCAACAAACATAATATAGTAGGTTTTGTCAGTGTTAAGCGAATTTTGTGGAAAATACTTTTAATATTTTCCCAGAAATTCAATTTTTGTAAAAAATGGCCATACGTATTTAATAATATTTAGGTCATGAAAAGGAACCCCTGCTCTGTCAGAGAGACTCGCCACTTGGTTTTAATTGGAACAACGTTAGGTAATGGGAAAAAATTTTCGTGCTCGGGGTTTAAAAATTGGGGCTGAAAAATCCAAATAGGGGGGGAAAAATTGTTGGGACATGCTTTCCTGTAATTTGAGATTTAGAGGGGACTGGGGACAAGACGCTCCGGAACCTGGATAACCCCTTCTAGTTTTTGTTTTTTTTTTTCTTTTGGATGAAAATTTTTTTGATTGACTTTGTTGGGGGGGGGACTCCCCTCCTTTTTATCAACAAGCACGCAGAATTTCCCCCAAACTCGTCTTCGTTTACTACTCTCTCTTTACCTTCCCTTCTTGCTGATGGACCCCCCTTTTAATCCTACTTTCTTTGACTTCTTACAAACTGATTTCCCTCCACAAACTCTGATGTATTTTCGCACCCCCCTCGCCCTTTCTATTCAGTCTCTTGTGCCCTTTCCCCTTTCACCACCCACTACCCGCTGTTATCCGTAACTATTTTTTCCCACTCCCCCTTTTTGCCCCCTATCCCCTCGTTCCTTCCTCCCCTGCAGCCTGTATAGTCCTTTGGCTTAGCGCTTCTTTTTGATTATAATAAATAATCTAGATTTGTGTTAATTCTGGCCAGTGTTTTCAAAATTTAGTTAGTGGGGTTTTTTTTCTAGTATGTAAAATTTAAATATCCAGTAAAATTTGGTGAGTGATTTTAAGATATATTTTCCTTCTGTTTGAAATTTGTGTTATATATAAACCATTTATTATTTTTAATTAAGCCCACAAAATTTTATATATTTACCGTTTCCTGGTGTATGTTTATTTCATTAAAAAATAGGTCCAGACAACTTGGGGTTAAGACAGTGGTGGGTATCAAAGGGGGGACATTTTTCGACCTGGTTCCCAAAATTCTACTTGTCTATGAAAAACATTAAAAAATAAAAATTATTTTTTGTTATCATTTACTTTTATGACATAATTAGAAACATTCAGATAAAGCAATTTTCCACAAGTTTACTGGCTGTCACCCAAGTCGATATTTTGATCAGCTCCTCTTAACAATGGTGTTGAGGGTGGTAAGATTAGGGTAAAGAGATGACGTAAGTCGTGTCGTCAGCAAAGAGAATGGGTTTCAGGTGTTGGGATACGTTTGGAGATCATTGATGTATATGGGAAAAGAGAGGGGACCAAGGACACCCCCTCGGAACTAGCATCAGGGCCGTGTTTTTGATGCATGTCTTTAATGGTGACATTGATACCTATTGTAAGGTAAGATTTGAAAAAAGCAAGCGCATGGCCTTTATACCGAAAAGGGTAATTTTTGTGGGTAGGATGCCGTGGTCTATTGTGTCAAAGGGTTTTCTTAGGTAAATAAAAATCCTGTGGATATTCCTTATTTTCCATTGTGTGTAAAGCGATCTGCATTTTTTATGATTGCATCTTTAGTGTTTTATTTTCCTAAAATCCAAATTGGCAGGGGTTGAGTATGTTTTGTCCCTTTATAAATAAATATAGTCTCCGACAGGGAGGAAAAAACGATCATGGTCGTAATGATATCAAAATGAGTTCACAATGGGCACCTGTGACGAGTGGGGTCCACAGGGAGGTCCTAGGCCCAGTGCTATTTTGGTATATTAAACGACATGTGGAAGGGTTAGACTCAGAAGTGCCCTTTCACAGGATGTAAGTTAATGAGGGGAATTAAATCAGATGAGGACCGGGCAGGATTCAAAGAGCCCTGGACAGACTGGACCCCTGGTCCACAAGGGTTCTGGGTTTTAAACCCCGCCAAATGCAAGCCATGAAGATGGGGAAAGGGCAAAAAAGACGCGACAGAGTATAGGTAGGTGGCCAAAGACTGCAACCCTCGTAAAGGAGAGATTTTGGGTATAACACCAAGCATGTCTCGGGAAAGACCATCAACCAGGTAACGCAAAGCATATGGGGCCCTGGAAACCTGAAGCCTTCCCGACCCCCTTTAATAAGGATATTGTTGCATCGTTTCCCGGGGCCGTGCGGACCTGCTGCGCAGACGCCTATTGAGTTGGTTTTTGCGCATTTTACCTGTTTGAGCTGTCCCCCTGGTTTTGCTGGTGAAAATTTTAATTTCCAACAGGCGCTGCATACAGCGGGGCGCTCAACATGTCTGTTTTGATTGCCCATGGGGCTGTAGGGGAACCACATGGATTTGTTACTACGGCGATACCTGATACCTACGGTATCGCAAAAGAAGAGTATGTGGGGTAGCACTTAAGGGGCGACACGGTCTTTCGTTAAATTTACGCAGCAAATGTTACGAAAAACGGGGTTTATAAGAAAGAGAATTTTACCCCTCAATTCAGCTGTTCAGTAGTCTTCATGAGTACTCGACATTACCATGGGAAAAAAACGAATGTGCCTTTTGAGGCGACTGATTTTTTTATAAAAGATGAACTACTAATTTGTAGGTTATATGGCTCTGAGGTCGGGGCCGTGGACCTTTTGGGAATGTGGAGGGAACATATTCATCAAAAGACCTTACGCCACCCCTACCATCCTATGTTATGTTGCAAGCATTCAACTCAAATTATGTAACATAGCGGGGCAACTCGTACGTGTGGCTGTGGGGGTCGTAAGCCAATAGCGGGCAGTGTGGTAAGCGTCGTGGGAATCTCCCAATATCGCAACAGCAACAATCGGAAGAGGTGAGGAAGGTGAGGGACGAGACCCTCTTATGCTAAACCGTCTCGACAACGGCATCTTGGGGGGTGATGAGGGAGAAAAAGCACAGGGGGAATGTTTGGAGGATGCAATCAGCGAGGAGAACACCCTATTGGACATTAATAAATA